TGAGAGCAACCGTGAGTAGTCACTTCTCCATCATGGGGAATTAGATTTTAATTCAACAGTAGATCCAATCACATGGAGAGAAGTAATTCTGTGTTCTGATCTCCTGCTGACTGGTTTTTAATTCCAAGATTTATAAATTCTCGAATCCATCCTTCGAATCGTAATTTGATGAAATGACCTGAAATTCGGTGGTTTTTGAGTTTCGGCTTGAGTGTATGGATGTTATTAATATATGCATCCTCTCTACACAATGTGACTGCCTGCAACTAACTTTAAGGTGTAAAATGGACCTTTTAAATGCACTTAATTGTCTGGTTCGGGTACCTTAGTCTCGTCGTATTCATGTGTATTTGGTAGAGGACTTAAGTTTACTTCCTTTTAATCAAGCCATTGGATCTGAAATTTCAAGCTTTCTTTCATCGTGTAATCAAGAAACCTTAATAATTCAACATGCTTAACTCCGGAGTTGTTGTAGGGGTGTGGGGTCAAGTTTTGTTTTGCATTTGCGTTCAAGGCAACAGTTGACTTTTTTAATTGATAAGTTCGATCTAAAATGAACAGGTGGATATTTCTATCGCGCTAACTAATCAAGTTTTCGAAAATTGGTCGTCTTTGAACTCACTCCTCTTTACTTCCGTAGGGTGGAGCGAGATTGTTACGGGGAATGTTGGGCTCCACTCGTTTACCGAAACGGTTTGACATTGCATCTAGGCAAGGCTAAATTGAGGATTTGTCAAGAATTTTTCTGATAGGCTGTGGATAGCATTTTGTTGAGGGTTGTCCACTCCAACTTCGTGCCTGCTGGTAAATGATTACCAAAAAATCGGCTGTTTGCTACAGAATTAGGCAACGTTTAATTACATTGTGCTTGCACAGGATCTGCAGCAGAAACTCCCTGTTGTACTTGCCGGATGGCTTTAATTTAAGCTGCGAAATTGCCTTTGACGATATATGTCTCCTATTTTTACTCCAAATTTCGCCACCTCTTCGTGTGAGCTTGATGACTTCAAAAGGGGTTTCAGCACCTTATGAACTTAAAGTATTTAAACTCACGCGTTTTTTGTCACCTTTACCACTCACAAAAGGGTTCTGATTTTTACTCTAA